GTGTGAATATGCGAGTGACAAGCACTGCCGTCTCACGGGACGCTCTCTGAACTGCTGTCACTGTGCTCCATGCAGGCAGAGGATCTGCTGGCCAGCTATACCAGCACTCTCCCCTCCAGTATCAACACCGGATGACTCACCACTTTTCGCTGACTAACTCTTTTCTTGAACGAGAGCGAGGGGGGGGGAGGAGGGATAAGAAGATTGTCAGGCCTAGTGCTGGAGGGGAAGACAGACAAGCCGAGAGAGATGGGCATATCTGAGCGCTGCTGGCTGCCTCTGATAAGCACTGATAAGGCATCTCTTTGATGTTCAGTTAAGTGTAAAATTTAAATGCGCTAAAAGCCGAGGGGTGCACGTCACCCCCTTCTGCAACTGAAGACAAGAGGATTTTCTTCTCTTTGGCTCCTCCCTCGTGCGCCTCTCTGCGCGAAATCAGGCAGGTGTTAATTGTATGGGTGTCTGTCCCGTCGTGCTTATATAACGTCCAAATCATATATCAAATCATTTTCAATCTTTCATCTGGCTATCATTAAGCCTCATTATCCACATGGCCTGATTACAGATCCTATTAACCTTGTTTCTCTGAGCCATGGCTCCGTTAGCGTGCGTATAGTTAATAATTTCTCTAACTGAAAAACTGTAATGTCATAATCACAGATATGAAAACACTTAGTTGCCTGGCAGCTACAATGACAGCATAAAAAAAGTGGCACTGACCAAATGAAATATTAATATGTCTGGAGACGCTTCTAGAAGCTTCTAACCTGATTTGTCACATCTGACCAAACAGATTAAGCGATTTATTGGAGTCGTATTCTACACGTTCATAGAATCCTAGCTTGATCTTACAGATAAGTCTGGGAAGCACCATATTTAAGGCAATAATACAGATAAACCAATAAATATTTTCATGTTGTGGCCAATAAACAATAAATGGCTGATTTTAAAATCTATAGCACTTTGACTAAAAAAATAGAAAAACTGCTGCAACTATTGCTACTGCAAATAAATAAATAAACAAACACTAAAACAATCAGAAAAAAGTGTAAAAAAAACCTATGAAAAATAGATAAATGTTTCATCTGAAAAAATTAAAGGAATAAATAATAATAATAATAAAAATTAAACTAAATTCTGGTTGAGAATAAACAAAAAAACACTAAAAACTTACAATTAGAAAAAGTGTAAAATGTTGAAAAAGAGAAATTAGGCATTGCAGGATGTACAGTACGAAAAATAGATAAATGTTTCATCTGAAAAAATTAAAAGATTAAATAACAATAATAAAAATAATAAATTAATGTAAATAAATGTAATATAAATTCTGGTAATGAATGAATGAATGAATAAATTAATTCAGACGTCAATAAGCAATATGGTGTCAATATTCCCTACACCTTGCAATTGTTTTCCAACAAAAGTGTATGAATTTATCACTTAAATAGAGTTACATTATAAATGTATAATTTCGAGTTATAAAAACCTAATCAATTATTTGTGGTGTTATAATTTTTGGTGAAGAATACATACAATTTTTCAAGCATATTAATGTGCGGCTTAAAAAAAAGACAGGGCAAGTAATATCTAAATTGCTATGGAAATATGTACAGTTCTAGTAGTTCAGGTATTATAGATTTGGAAAACTGGCCATTTATCAGCTAGCCACAACAGAAAGGCTTATCTCCAATACATTGCTTCCAAGACTCATCGGGCCCAAAAAAAACTTTTACACTGGCATGGATCCTCCTTAATGTTGAGCTCTGTAAGTGTAAAAGAAAACACCATTCTTTGAAAGTGTAGAATACGGCTCCTATAAATTGCTAAATAAACAAACCAATATAGCAATGAAAACGTCATCACACAGCATCATTTCCATAAATGTTCTGGATGGACTTGGAAGCGAACTGTTGCTGAAACCAGTCTAAACGCAGACTAGACCTTCGATTCCCACTTGAATTCAAATCTCCATCTCGCCTCATCTAAAGCTACAGCGTTAGTTAGCCGGGCCACTTTGTTCCTGTCGCTGTGGTTTTACTCCGTAATCATGATTCAAAGAAATGCAAGAGATATTAATAAAGTGAATGCACTCAGTGTCTGGTATCCAAGCAGCTGGAGAGTCACGTATGCTGTTTTCCCTTCACTCCTCAGTCATCAGGTGCACTAAAACTCCGACAACACAAAGAGACAGCAGTAACTTCTCAACCCGAGAAGGCAGCGGCCTACAGCTCAGTCAAGTATGCAATAATGCGCTCCGACGAGAAATGAAAAGCGAAAAGAGAGAAAGAAATGGAGAAAAGGAGAGAAGAAAAAAAGAAGGGGGCGGGAATACAAGATGTAAATCTATTCACAGATTGGGCCAAATCTGTGCTTAGCCTATTATTTACCCTCACCGCAACAGAATCTTGGCTAGAAACATGACACTTTAAACACTTGGGCCCATTTCAAACATGAGTAACCACAAACAAAAGACACCAACAAAAAAGTTGGCCAAGTTATTAGGCTCGATACTCATTAGCACCTGAAATTCTGGAAGGAATTACACTGTAGACACCCTGAAAACACTGCTACATCCATCACAGCGCAGCAGCGCCAAACAGAGAATTACTAAATCAACAGGATCAAGCTGTGATTGACTCAAATCGGCTTTGCAGAATGGAAATAAAAATGACTGAACTAGATTCTAACAATTGTGCAGAAAATGAGTTTCATTTGACATAATTTGCTGGTTACTAGGGTGATCTGGATGGTTGCTTATGCCGGTCCAAAAAGAGCTAAAAAGTTTATAAGGCTACGTTCACACTGCTAAGTTTTGTGAGTGAAATCTGCAAATGTGAATCCTTCACTTATGTGTACGTTCAGGAGTAAAACCATGACGGCTGATACAGGCCCGTAACCAGCTATGAGGCCACCGAGGTCCGGACCCCGGTCAATTTTTCATGCTAAAAAATAAAATGTGTTCTTTGAATGACTAATTTGCTGTTAAACTCCTCATATGAATGCCTGCATGACATGTATAATTCAGTTTAGACAGTTTGCAAGAATGTTTAGCGTCCCTGTTATGAAAATTATAGCTGCGAGACGCTGGCGGAGTGAACGAGGCTTAAGAGAGTTGTGAGTGAGGGCGCGGGCGCAGCCTCTGTGTTGCCAGATCCAGCTATTATAAGCATTTTGGACTTGTCTTTTCCACTTAATTTAACACTTTAGAAAGTTAATAAAGTAGGAAGTTGCAGTTTAGAGTAAGCAATATCTTTCTCTTATCTTATTTGCAAAAGATTGGAAATAATTTCGGTTTATTTTTAGTTTATTTTAGTATTAATATCTGGCAACACTGCATCGCCGACACTTAAACTGAAAGCAATCAAAAAAGTCCATGGACAGGTGCTGACAGGATACGACATTCGGTAAGGGAGACGCAAAAATATGATATTATCTGTCATAAACGTTATCAACGCTGTCAAAAACAGTAGCATTTAGCACTAGTACACAGATCTGTAGAACAAGTAGGTTACAGAATGAAAATGAAATATGCAAAAACTAGCCATGAAGAAGTCTATGATATGTCATTCAGTAGTTACATTTTCACAAATCATGCTATAAACTTTCATAAGAGCACTAGACAAAGTTACTGTAGTTATGTATTGTTGCAATAAACAACTGATAAAATGATCCACCATTAAATATAGTAAAGTAATAAGAAATTGATGCAATAAATAGGGTATGATTTACTGTAAAAATAACCATCCCTCCAAAACACAGAAAACATCTTTCACAAACATCTACATGTCTGTCTCCTTTAAAGTGTTTATGGTGTATCTAATGAGTTGTATTTGTAGGGGTTATTATAACACAATTCTTTGAAGGGGTCATATGATGCTTTTTTAAAGATCATTATTTTGTGTATTTGGTGTAACAGAATATGTTGACATGCTTTAATGTTCAAAAAACAAAATTTTCAAATACTGTACATTATTGTAGGTCCTCTATGCCCCGCCTCTCTCAAACGCTTCTGAACATCTGAATCTCTCTTTCATTTGAGAAAGTGAAGCAGCGAGTCATCTAAGCCACACTGAATCACAAATGAACTCATAATACATCTGAATCTGATTATGCTGCGTGGCACTGCTGCAGATCAAACCCTCGAGACTGGAACAGTTTATACAAGCGCTCGTTTAGCACCAACTAGTTGATTAGTAAAAAGACTATTTAGATTACTCACAAATTGATTTTCAAATTTATGGTGGGAAGAGAACGTGAAGAGCTACGAGAAACAAAAGTTTAACAGTTTTTTGTTATTTTTACATTTTTATTTTTTAATCCATTTTGTATTTTTTATTATTATTTTTAACTAATAATACATCAAGATTTAAAAACAAAATTGTTCATACATTTTTTTCATTAAAACATCAACATTTAAAAATCACATTTTTTCAATTGAATTCTCAATAGAAAAGCACAGGTTTTTGAAGTTAGCTAATTTTGAATGGGTGAGTATTTTAATATTTATGATTAATATTTAAAGTATGAGACATTGTTTTTTAATCTAGGATATCTTAATAATATTTTAAAATCTTTATATTCATTATAATAGTATCTACGGTCCATATTTATTTAACATCATTTAGTTGTTTATTTTATTTTAAATTATTTATTATTATTAAATTCTTTTCTTTTCTTACTATATTAAATAAAAGTAATGTTTTTACATATATAAATGTACATAAAAATATATATTTCATTTGCAAAAGATTACTTTTCAGCTTGTAGTTTTCAGCACATTCTGACTGTTGCTTCAAAGAATACCAAGACTTTATAGCAAACTCAACAAAACATCATATTTTTTGGCATTACCTTCATATTTGATTAATCAAATTACTTGATTTTTATCACGTGTTTGAATACTTAAGACTACAAAATAACTCAAAATGCCCATCCCTAGTTGATACGTCTCGTTTTTATCAGAGGTTTGTTTGGTTAGCTGGTCTGGTTTGGTTTCTTACCTCTGCGCTGCTCACTCGACCTTCCTGGAAAGAGCACTCGGCTACGTTATTAGTGCAGATGTGGCGATATTTACACCAGTTGCAGGGGAAAGGGCTGCTAACACACGATGAACACCTGCAGAGGAGAAAAGCAAAAGAAAGTTACATGAGAGGTCTGTTCTGAGCAGATCAAACAAGTCATCCGTGAACAGTTTCCACTGACTTGAGTCAAAGCAAAACGTAAATGACCAAAACGTATTTTACCACAAAATCTACTCCGGAACAAACCTGGTTTTGTTTAATGGTCTTATTCCTAGTTTTTACAGCATATTTTACAAAGTAATAAAACTAATTGTTTTTATGCAATCACAAGCTGGCTTTGACGTAACATACTATTTTATATATATTTATAAATTATAAGCATAAATAAATAACTAAATAAATAAATAAAAAAAAAGTCAGAAATAAAATATTTTATTATAACATTTAATTCAAATAATGCAATTATATAAAAAAAATACAATACACACACACACACATACATATTATATATGTATATGTATATATGTATATATGTATATATGTATATATATATAT